TTAATATTAATATCGTCCCTATACTATATACTAAATGGTGTTACATGAATTACATTTCCTCTAAATGCACACCCCCTCTAAATATGCACATGATGGTCTGGTCCCAATGGCGTGCATTTAGAGGGTTTTCTCTGTATCTGGAATTAGACGCAATGCTATTGCTATGTTCACTACTATGCGGTCTGGTGATACGTGTTTCAAGCGACGTTGTTAAGTCCTCCTTTTTGCTACTATCGGAACTTTTAACCAGAAGGATAAAATAGGCTGATAATCGCCAATTCATCAATGTAAATTGGATGAACAAATCAGGACAGTCTAAAAAATCGAAATCAACGACCAATTTTATTGTTTACGATGAAGAGACCAACAAACTGATTTATTGTTAGAATCAAACCCAAAAGTATTTTTAATGGCTGGCGCGGCCAATAGAAGAAATTAAATTACTACTTTCGAGAAATAAAATCGATAATCAAACTTGGGCTATGCTCGAGTGATCTTACAACTACATAGTTCACGTTATTATGATTCACCGACAACCGGCTCAACTCGAATAAACCGAACTTAATTTAGGCCCGGTTTAAATCAGACATTCGGTTTGTGTAAATTCGGCTCAAGTCGGATTTAATTCCACCCGGATTGACCCGGATACATCCGGTTGCAAAATTTAGTGGGAAATTGAAACCGGTTTGCGCACTTACAATCGTGGTCCTATCCCTGGCCTTAGCGGCCTTAATATTAAACCTCTGCATGACACTAGGAATTATGGCGGTGAACTCAATCTTTAAAGCCAGCCAAATACCGTTTATGGTTACCTTGTGCGCCACTTGCCCAAAATACCGTCGCAGGAAATGAACATTAAAATTCTGACTGACTGGTTCTGTTTTCTCAATCCAATCTGCAGATGCGATTGCGGTAAGTGTAGTGTTGGTCGCGTATTTTCGGCGAAATAATGTATATCTGTTTAGCAATTCTTCAATAAGTAGATATAATGGGATCGGTGGGTTCGCGAACTGTTCGGATTCGGAGACTCTCCGGCTGGGTCTCGCTGGCTTTGTCTCTAAACTTGACGTTTTTTCTGCTTAAAGTCTTAATAGTTTCAATCAACTCGTTGTCGTCAATCATTACGCTTGATTTCTTCTCGTTTCTGACTCTGTTTGATTTATCATTATTAATAGCCTATAGCCTCGCTTGACCGTTTATTCTCAAAGGCCTCGTCTGACTTATCTTCAATAGCTTTGTATAACTTCCTTTCGATAATGGTGTCACTCGAGTTGTCTTCATTACAATGCGTCCAACTTATGGTTTCATTGTGACGTTATCTTTGTTGACGTTTGACCTGTCACTTTTTAGAGCTTCAATTTGTCGCCAGGATATGCATCTCTTCTTCGGTTGTCCGTTAATGACTTCCTCAACCTGTAATCGTGGGTGTTATTAAATTCTTCAATTGCTTTACCGTCCATTGGATATTGTTTTGCTGATAATTATCAACCTTCTTTTGTTTTCTCGTGATCAACCACTATAATTGTTGCAGTACTTTGACTTTGGCTCTTTACAGATGACCTTACGGTTAACCGCCTCTGTTACTTTTTACTTGAGTTTATTGTTCACCTTTGCTAACTTCTTATCCTGTTCCCTTTGCAATCGTTCGTTCAACTCCGTTGTAGCTCATCTTGAGGGAAAGCTCTGATTTTCGTTCGTTTAATTCTTTGATCTGTCTTTCATGAAGCTTGTCAGAAGATGAGGTGTCACAGTTCCGGACCATAATTTGGAGAACTTCTTGAACTTTGCCTTGAGGCATGAGTGAAACTTGTAGATTTTTGTTCTTGCGATTTCTTACTTGCACGCTGTTTTATTGGCAAAGCGTGGTGATGATGGTGAAAGAGGAACCGGTCGATGGGGACTAGTCGTATTGGAATCTCCCGAACGGTGTGAGACAGAGTTGGTGACCAAGTAACCATATAGTCCAAAGCCCGCTGCTTTCTCCTTAAACACTCAAATTGATAATTGTGTCGAACGTCGCGCTGTCTGTTTATCAATTCGTGAGGGTTAAGCGAAGACTGTAACACGTGAAGATGATATATTGCCCACGGAGACCTCCCGTCCGTCTGCAGGCGGATAGTCAATCATATAGGTAATTGTTAACGTCCCATTACCTCTAACAACAACATATCTCTCGAGTATCAAGACGCATATTGTTGGTATAAGATTCTACGGCTTGCATTTTCAGAACGCAGTTGGACAACTGAAGGAATAGGTATGAATAAATTAATAATTGCTTGCGTTGAACCATCACAACAATACCTATAGCACCTGATAGAAAATATAACATGCCTGGACCATCGCTGTCAAATCCGTCTCGTCTGTAGTCACGAATAGCTCATAACAATGTCCAACCTGCACCTTCTAAATTTAATAAAAAATGAGACGTTTCCGATGAGGTGCTGACTCGAGGACGCCTTCCCATTATAGTAGACAGTTCATTTTGTGATAATGCGAATATCCTACAGGGGTCAGCCAAACAACAAATCCTCCAATTTTAACCTCGTAACTAATACGCTGTTTCACTGCAATATTAAGAAAGCAATAAATTAATATAATGAATGATAAGATTACAGTACTCTAATATAATTTCATTGAATCACCGCGCTGAATATCTCATGCTCACTCGAGCAAAACGACGCGTTTACACTAATAACGACAATAAGTCGCTATGTGAATATATATATTCCGCATTTACAAGGATCCACACCTGTGAATTTAACATGTAACAGTTTCTTAATGCAATATCATCGTAATGTGCTCGCCCATAAACACCGTGTTTCACTCTTCTAACCAAGGATGGTTAAGTTCTTCAATATTGTTTTTATGATGGAACCTGTAAAAATTTTTGCAATTAAAATTGGAGAAATAATTTGTTAATAAGAATTGTATTATGAATAACATTTGTCCCACATAACAATATACCTTCTGACAATATATACAGGATACGTAAATCTCTCTTGAAAGAATCTCGTATATAACATAGCAAGACCTTGATATCTTGCGGAGGACTGTCATATTCCTGACCAGTCAACGTCTAAATAAACAAAGATTGTTCATGTTAACACATAATCACTTCCATTACATATACATTAACTCTTCTTTATGTTCCCATATTACCTCAGGCGCAGCATAATCATAATCCAAAGTTCCACGGAATGTATTGTACTGTTTGCCTTCTTGAATATATGCAACACTTGCAAAATCAATCAACCGTATGTTACCATCCTCATCCAAAATAACAATCTCGTCTTTGCTATCCCTATTCACGACATCATTCTTGTGCAAACGCCCAACCGCACAGGCAACTCGATTTGATTTCAGTTTCGGGCATCGATCTATGTACCCAAACAAGTCCATTCCCGTCCGTGGAGATTCAATGTAGTAATATCGTCTTCAAAAAGTTGATGCTGTTTAATGACGAAGGGTGAGAATAATAAATACATAATTCCGAATGAAAAACCAATAATACATAATGCAATGGTATTCTTTCTAGATACGTACTCATTATAATGAGAGAGGTGCCGGGGTGTATGGAATGTGTATCTCTGACGGAGTACTTCATGATGTATCCAACTGTCGACAAAAATCCTTGACTTGAAGACAAACTTCAATACCACTAGTTCCTATAATAAAAAACAAACGTATTATAAACAGCATCAAAAAAAATACAAGCCGATAGATACACGAGCTCCTGTTTGCTCGCTCAGCCGTACACACACCTTTTCTTGATCTTTCGCATTGTATGCAACTTGACAACTCCATAAGCAATGGGTAGGATCTTGTAATCATCAGTAGTTTTTGCACGAGTAACGGCCGAATACAATCGAGCGATCAAACGATTCTTCGTCTGCTGGTAGATTAACACAGGTGACGTACCATCCTGCGTTGGAAGTCCTCCACCAGCGGCCAAGAATTTCGACGTTGAGAATTTTTCTTCATCATCGCTATTGCTCTGCTCATCGTCTACAGTTCCTCTGTCTGCATTGCCTCTTCGGTCTTTGTCTTTGAATCGGCTATTGTAGGTCGAGCTTGTCATTTTCGTTTGGCTCCACATCCAGGCTTCTGTCATATAATATCCATAATGCGCGCAACGGCTCGTTAGCATATTCGACTACTCGCATGTATATCAACATTAAAATTCGGTCCCATCTCTATGCCCTGCGGTAAAGCCAGACGGTCCGCGGAAATTTTCGTGCTCGATACGTGATTAGAATACGCCAACTTGAGCAAGATTGCAGTATGACAGTTGCTTCGATTAGGTCGTGCTCTGATTTCACAATATCGTTCAAGCTCAGAATCCCAACAATAGGTGAGATGGAAATCGATATACGTCTGATCCCCAGTTCATTCACGGTCTCGTTCTTGCGCACAATCTTTCCCACAATCGGGATCTTTCTCTGAGAAACGGAGTAGCTTCCGCAAATTTGGTTTTTTCAATTCTTTAATGAACTGTTTAGAGATTGTTTCGTGTTAGGTATTAGCTGTTATAAATTCTTCAGCGGGAAACTGTAAAGAGCCTTTAGGTCACCAGATGCTTTGGGAATAATTACCTAAATAAAGAACCAATCGGTTAAAACAAAAGGATTGGAGAAAACGCGATAGAGGGTCAAGGAAATTCTACAGACAAACCTCTTGATTGACTTCGACATCCATTGTCGATTCAACAATTTCTTTGAAATATTCAAATGAATATAGAATTGCCGCAATCGTCCTTTTTTCCTTTGAGCCATAAAAAAGCAGTCGACACCTCATGCTTTTCTTTTGTATCGATGCATATGAAGAGATTGTGTGAATAAGAGCATGAAAATATCCCGACGGGAGAACACCACTTTTCTTAATTCAGTAACTCTTGATGAAAGTCATTAGCACGGAATCATTGAATGTAAGAAGTGCTTAAATCAGTTCGTTATTACAATTGTTTAGCAATAATATAAAAATTCGTATATAACTATCGATTACAGATTCTCATTGCAGAAAATTTTCTCTTGCCCTTGCATGAACTTCTGATAAACACGTATTTGTATTTGTGTAACAATATAAAGTAAATTTTAATTTGGCGTTAAGATTAATCGTAAAAATGATAATGATACAATAAGCACGAGAACGTTCATTGAACACTTATACAAAGGCAATTTATCAGGAAGCGGAAACGTTCTTCTCATTAGTTAAATGAATATCATTACATCATTTGATGCCACAGTGCCATCAACGTTAAAAGTTAGACCAACAAACTAGTGGTCATGCAGACAGCGCGTGCCAGACGTAAAGGTAATTCAGGAAAAGATATACCGGAAACTGTCGTTCTCAAAGTTTTTAGAGTCTTGACGAAAACGCCCAAATTATTATTGCCCGAGGCAAGCAATCTTCGATAGCATCAACATACAGTACTTGTGACTATTACATTTTTCTTAATGTTTATTGTTTAAAAGAGTGATTCACTGAACATCAGACTAAATAATTAAATTATCGAACAATCGAATAATCGGTTTATCGAATAAACCAAATAAAATTTTCATTGAGAGGAGGGAGGGTTTAGAACGTAGAAGTAGAATCTATATAATACATTCAATTCTGTTTCGATTTCAACGAATTATTCAGTTTGGGGAGTCAGCCATTGAAAATTATCACGAGACGAAAAGACTCGAGCCCAATACATGTATTACGGAACAATCAAATACATCGCAATTCCGAAAACAGACATTAGGTAAAAGACTAGACACTGTGTAGATTATGCGAAAATTTATTAATAACCGAGTGCTTTCTTAAAGTTGTGCGGCTAGCCCAATAAAAATTCGAGGAAAAAAAACTATGAGCGCACTCTTGTAAAAAACAATAATAACCAAAGGTGGCAATGTGTGAGCATGGCATTTAAACAAAAATTATGTAATATGATTGCTAATCACTGACTAGACTGATAGTGTCCACAGATTTCTTAACTCCACTATTACTATGTGATTACCAAATGTCATGCAATTGCTGTGCCAAAACTTTCCACCAAAAAAATAAAAGTAGCCAAGATATTATACACAATTTCTTTTGTATTTGTGGTTCAGTAGTATTACAAACTAATAGTGCGCAGAATTTACATCATCTGTGCTATCATAAATGATTGATGGGAGACCAGAAGAAAAGAACTAATTGTTAATTATAATGTGAGTTGTGATATGATGACTATAAATTTTGTGATTATAATGTTACCAATAGTATTGTATCGGTAGATGCAAAGTGTTGTTTAAAGTATGTAATAGTAAGCTCATGTTATTAAGAATTTGTTCAAAAAATAAAATCATTATTACAGTAACATGCAAAGGTATGACATGCTTCTAATTCAAAAACAGATTGAAACTTTTCTGCATAACCCCAATAT